AGTATATAAAAAAGAAAGATTTCTGTCGAAATATACAATATTTATATTAATACCAATTAATTCATTGGCGTTTTTAAAATTAAGAGATCCACAACTCGCTCAAATGTTTACAATGTGGGCATCAGTTTTCTTTTTATCTTACTGTCTAAACCAAGGGCTCAGTCACCGTTTTTTAAGGACCAAAAGGTATTCTTAGACAATAGGTGAGAATAGATGGATGAAGAGTAAAGACTGTTCAAAGAGCATTAGTAGGAAGGGAGAAAAGCCAAGCAATTATCTTTATTGTGCTAAGCCCGCCCCAACTGTCGAAACTTAAATGTAGCCGTCTCTTCTACTCCAATAGCTTCATGTCTTGCTTTTGTCGCCTGTAGAACTCCCTCCTATTTTCCTGTTTCCCTGATAGATATAATCTCCAATTCAAATGTAATGTCAATCGACATCTCCAGATACCTTGATCTATTCCCTATTCATCTTTTCCTCTATCATTCCTTTTTGATCTTGCTCCTGCTCACTGTAACCCCTTGCGTGCTAGTGGCTTCCCGCCTTGCTTGGGGTGAAACGCTTTAAAAAAATTACATATTACATTTGATGAGAAAACTGAAACAATTATTAGTGAATAAGACTATATATATATATATATATATATATATACCGTTGTGCAAATTAATCGAAACAACCACTTTAGTTTCCTTTCTTTCGCCATACGGTCAGTTTTAGACATTCTGGAGTGAGAGGGTGTAATCGATTTCTCGTTTTCACCTCACATTAGATCATTTGCAGTAGTGTGCAATAATATGAATCCATTTTCGGGGCGTATGATGAAATTTGTTTGGCCTTGAAAACTATTGAGTCATCCGTGATTGCATCAGAATTTTATCACGCCCAGACACCATTGTCTCGACTGTCGATTAGTTCTCCCATGTTCATCGTCTGAGGTGGACGTTACACCAAGGAAGCGTACGAAAATTGTAACGCTGCACGAACCCACTGGCAAACCATACCAGTGAGCAAATGAAAGTACTATAAACTGGCCCTGAAAATCCCCTGATTGAAATCCAATCGAGAATCTGTAGTCAATCTACAAGATATGACTTCGTGGAAGGTACATACGAAGTAATATCATGTGCACTGTGTCATGTTTCATTGTAAAAATACGAAAAAAAATGTAAACAATAAGGAATTATTCGTTTTCTTTCTATTAATTTGAACAAGGGTATATATATATATATATATATATATATATATATATATATATATATATATATATATATAGTTATGATAAAAAAACATACGTATAGGCAAATGTCCATGTACGTACGTTTATATAAGTTCCATATAAAAATCCATATTATAGATCGTACTTGATTATTTTATGAGGTATTTATATGTAATTTCACATTTGTAAGTATAGGACTAGATTCCAAATGCATTTTATATATGTCTTCTTAACATATAATTAAGTCAACATCGTAAATGCTAAGTTTATTCCATAAGACATTGCCTTAATAATATATTTTAATAACCACCAATTATTTCTATTACGACTAATGAGGGTTTTTCCAGAAATGGAGTAATGTCCTTGATACATAGCGTGTTTACGTAAATTCAAATGTTATTATGTAAAATATATATTATTTTAATTTTTCATCTCTTCGAACTTCAGCATTTGGCAGATATAGATTATAAATAATTACTTTAAATATTATAGACAACAATAATAAAACGAAGATGTCTTAAGACACAATTTTAAGTTAACACCACGAAACGCGAAATGCATAACGATTAACGGTCAGTGAGTATTCTGCACCTGAAGATTGTGTATCCGTATGAAACTCCGAGGTGTGCTATTGACGCGGGGATATATATATATATATATATATATATATATATATATATATATATATATATATATGAGTAACGAAAAATCTTGGTAATCCGTATGGATAATCCCAAGGAGGATGAGCCTAATGTTAAGCCAGAGCGAATAATTTAATTTAAAGATTCACACAACCCTTTAAGGCTCCATTTGTAATAATTTATTTCACCAGAGAATTTTATTTTTCTCTGGATCTTCAGGTGAAACGAAAAATGAATTTAAAAATTTACACTTTTGACGGGCAGTATTAAGCTTATATAAGTAAGTATATGTGGTGAGTAACAGTGTGAGAGACATGGTCGAGTTTGGAGAGGGAAGGGAGAGTTTTAAAATTTATTTTTATATTTCTTTTTATTATAATACTTAATATTGAGGAAGGAGGGGGTAAGGATCAGACATTGACCTATTTAATCGGTCAACTCAACGGAAATGATATGGAAAAAAGAGAAAAAAGGGGAAAAAGAAGAAAGGGGTAAGTAAAGAGATAGACGATAAGAAATGGACGTAGGGTTTTTCGAGGAAGAAGAGGGGTGGTATAGCTTTAGCAATTTTGATAAAAACAGGTTTTAATGTTTGATAGTAATTTAAATGTTTAAAAACTCCACAAAGAAATTAGATTTAATACTTGTTAGAAATTTAAATATTCATCTTCTCCATATATAAATTATGGATTTAATATAAGACAAATACAATATTAATAAACAACAATAATAATAAAAAATCTACTAATAGTAATATTTTAATATTGTGAATGACTGTTAAAGTAAAATCTTTATCAGTTAGAGTCTAATTCATGAATTTAATTTGTAGCTATTTTTAAGTGGGTAATATTTCTTAATTAAGTTTAGGTTTCAAATCAAGATGGAGTAAGATTTGAAGGTAATAGTAAAATAATATTTATATATATATATATATATATGTGTGTGTGTATGTGTGTGTGATAAAATATAATTTAAATGTGTGTATATATTTCTTTAAATCTATCAAATCTACAACCTAAATATGACTTCCTTACAAAGAAGTCCGAAATTGAAATTCTACACCAATCACTATCCCAGCCCGTGGCGCGTAGAGATATAGCAATTCCCACAAACCTGACAGACCTCCCCTAGGCCACTCGCCACGCAATAAATACAATAATACCTTAATAAATAAAGTAAAAATCTCATTAAAAGAATTACAAAAACAATCCTAAAATTGTCATTAAACGAGCCGACAAAGCTAATCCATATGTAATTTTGGATAAAGCTGATTGTCATAAAAAAATTACAGGACATCCTCCATAACCGAACTAGAATCACCAAACTAAACAGAAACCCCACGAAGACCCTAAAAATTTCCGTCATCAAACTCATAACATCAAATAACGCTGAAGTCGGTTCCCTGAAAATAAAAAAAAACATATCATTGAAGACTACCAAACTGAAATATGGAAATATAAAAACCTATAAAGTCGGATAGCCGCTACGACCAATCATTTCCCAGATCCCAACACCTATCTATGAGCTACCAAAAGTCCTTAATGACATCATTACTCCATACTTACCCACAAGTTACAGCATCACATCTAACCACGAATTCCTACAAATTTTAAAAAAGTACAAAATCAAACCAAGGTAACTTAGCGTCATTTGACGTCGAAAATTTATTCACAAAAGTCCCCGTCGATCAAACCATTGACATTATCTTCAATTCTGTGTACACTAATAATTCTATCCCTCAGTCATCCATCAAACCATCTATACTCAAAAAAATTACTACACGCATGCACAACCAAAATTTGATTCTATGACCATAATGTCAACACTGATGGTGTTACTATGGGAAATCCACTCGGCTCGTGCTTCTCCAATTATTACATGTCCCATGTAGAAAACATGATATTTAAACAGGTTTGTAAACCTAAAAGATATGTCCGCTACGTAGACGATATTTTTATTTTAGAGAATAAAATAAAAGAATTAGATACTCTTACCATTCTTAGATATTTTCGTAGAATATAGTAACAACACTTTTACCACCTCATTATATAAAAAAACCCGACTAGCAGAAACTCTTGCCACCTTAACTTTAAAAGTGAATGCCCACTAAGATACAAAATAGCAGTGATAAAAACACTTCCTAAAAAGAGCACACGAGAATTCATCCTCTCAACTACTCTTCCTTAAAGAACTCAGTAATGTAAAACAGACACTCATTAATAATGGCTTCCCTAACCACCTTATGGACCACCAAATTAGACTATTTCTTCCCAAAGTAAATAAAAATAAACACACAAAAATAACATAAATGTTTTCTATAAAAACCAAATGCACATTAACTACAAACAAGATAAATCTTCACTTAATATTATAAAGAAATACATTACCACAGTTGACCCGGACAAAAAATCAAATTAATTATCTACTACAAAAAATTTAAAATAGTTTACCTTATTCTCAAAAATACCAACACACCAGCAAAGTCAAAATTACAACGAACGAACGTTAGCAATGATTTCAAATGCCCCTTAACGAACTGTGTTCCAGATCAAACTGAATTCATAAATAATTACATCTGTCACACAACTACATGCCCATCCAGATGCCTTATGTTACTCCTATCCGACCACAGCTCCATTAGAACCCATTTAAATACACACACACATACACAAACTTACAAGACGAGGAGAAAACGCAAACATAATAACCTCATCCACATGTGCAAAAAAAAAAACAAAAAACAAAATGGATAAAAAATTAAAAGCCAACTCAATAATATTAACTATAAACACGGCCACAATGTGCTGACTGTGTTCATCCCTATAACTCTAGAAACATACACACAACCCATACACCTAATTAAATTGAAAAAATAAAACCATCCTTGATAATGGCTAAAAGTATAGCCAAAAGCGCTTGGAATTACAGAACATTTGGACAGTTTCTACTCAATCGGTTGGACGACAAGAAATATTAAAAAACAAAACAAAAACAAAACAAAAAAAACGCTTAATCGTAGTACCTTGTCTGCTGTCTTTAATGAAACATGTATAAATGAAGGTGCGGAGAACTGGCATGAAAATAAAGGAAAGTATTTCTACTATGACATAGAGTTCCCTGTAGTGGTAGTTATATTCAAGAATTTAGTGAAGAAGAAGAAGGAGGAGGAGGAGGAGAAGAAGATGGAAAAGGAGAAGAGGGACGGAAAGAAGAAGAAGAAGAAGAAGAAAAAGAAGAAGAAAGAGGAAGAATAAGAAATGTTGATATTCAAAAGGAAAAGGAAAATGCATTTTCAGAAGGAAGAAGGAAGAAAAGAAAACGAGAGAGAAGAAAAATGGAAAAGAAATAAAGAGATAGAGAAAAAGTTGAAGAATTGACAAAGAAGAAGAAAAGGGGGTAAAAGAAAGCAGAAGTAAACCAAAGAGGGTGACAAGAATTGAAGAAGAAGAAGAAGAAGAAGAAGAAGAAGAAGAAGAACAGAATGAAAGTGGATCATGGAAGATGAAACAAATGCGTGGTAGAAGAAGCGAGGGAAAGGACAAAGAAATGACAAAAGAGAAGAAGAGAAACAAGGAGAAGAAGAAAAAAGCGTCGGATGATGCAGAGGATCCGAGAAGTGTGTGTGTGTGTGTGTGAGAGAGAGAGAGAGAGAGAGAAAGAGAGAGAAAGAGAGAGAGAGAGTAAATGTGGTAAGGAAATAAAAATGGTTTAAATATTGAATAAACAAAAAAGAAAAGGGAACGGGAACAGATGATAGAAGAAAAAGAAGTGGAAGAAGAAGACGGAGAAGAAGAAGAAGGAAGAGGAAGAGAAAAAGTGGAAGAAGAAGAAGGAGGAGGAAAAAGAAGAAGAAGAAGAAGAAAGAAAGAAAGAAAGAAAGAAAGGAGGAGAAAAAGAAAGAAAGAAAGAGAAACAAAGAGAGAAAGTTGAATATGGATTTGCTTCGGGCTAGCAATTACGACACCTGCTTCGTATTCTTTGGACTGCGAGAGAAATGCATCGTCACCTGAGCTGCAGGATGCGACATGAGAGTGCAACTTGTTGGTAACCACATCCGGAAGCGACAACCTTAAACTGTGCTGTAGGAAAGCACACCAAAAGTCAAAATCAGTTCACCCGCGAGACTTTCTAGTAAGAGATGCAAATTATCGCATAAAAATGGAAAATGCTTGAGTGAGAAACACACAGAGAAGCAAGAACGCATGCGCGGGTCGCCGACATCTTCACTCTGGCGGGCGGGGGCGGGGGGATCCTGTTGTTGAAGGAACAGAGGATAGAAGGCGGCTGTTGGCAAAGTAAAACATGAAATGAAATAAGACATTCAACGAAGAATGAATTTAAAATTTAAAATTAGATGGACACCACAAAAAAGCTCCTTCAATAATATTAGAAATAGAAATCAGACATCCCTATCCAAATATTTTTGGCATTTAAAAGAAATGAATAAAACACCAAAAGTCAAATGGAAAATAATAGAACAAGAACTTGTAAAATCTGGGATGACCCATGCCCTTTATGCCTACATGAAAAACTACACATAATTAATTTTCTAAATAATGAAAATTTATTAAACCATAGACATGAGTTCACGGTTTTTTGACGACATCAACAAATTTTCACATTAAATAATTAGCATAAAAAAAATCATAGTCTAATAAAAGGTTTAAAAGCTTAACCCAATCATAAGATAGAAAAAACCCTTTATGAAGTCGTCAAAAAACAAATTGTAGTTCAGTGCAATGCGTTTATGTACGAAAGGTTTCCTTTAGGAAAACAAATCAACAAATAAATAATAAATAAAATTGAATTCGTTAGACACTTCACGACGTATTATGGTGCCAACAGCTATCTTTCGCTGTGACTGACCAGACAATGTGCGTACATGAATGCCGTCATTCGCTTTGAAATGGACACCCCGACCCTACCTCGGCTTGACCTCTTTCCGAAGGTGACTGATATGTGGATATAAATTAACTCTTATGCCCCTTATCAAAATGGTCGCTCGAGCCGTTTCCATAGTAACTAATTTTGCGAATGAACATGCTTATAAAGATACGTAAATTTCAAGATTGGTTTTTCCTAAATTTTCGCTTGAGGATGAAACAGGGATTGATATTTTAATTCAATTTAATTTCAATAATTATATTGAGGTTTTCGGCTCTTGTTTTTGAAATATGAGAACTCTTATGTAGTAAAAGGAATCATATTTTTTAAAAAATAATTATTATTTAAGCTCTACCTCTGTATGGAACACTGTTTTTAAAATAAAACAAAATACTAAAGAACTCGGATTATTTACCTAACGTGTTTTTCCTATTTTTAGACATATATATATATATATATATATATATATATATATATATATATATATATATATATATATATATATATATATATAATGAGAAAGAACAGTAAGATATATAATCCAGGGTTCTTATTAATATTTTTATTTTACAAAACAGTGTCCAATGCAAATCTACAGAGCATAAATATTATAAATTTACTAATTTAAAAATATGATTCCATCGCTACGCAGGAATTATCATGTTTCAAAAACAGAAACAAAAAAAAAACTTCAAATTCAATTATAGAATTAAATTAAAGTCCCTAGATCTATTTCATTTTCAAGCGAATTTTGGAATATCTTATTTTGAAATTTACTGAGTTTTATGAGCACAAACATTTTTAATATTATTTTCTAAGGATACGGGGAAATCCAATCATTTTAACAAGGGGTGGTAGGGTATTGTATCAAAATATGAGTTACTTTCGAAAAGAGGTTAAGTCAAATCAGGGTAGGGTGCCTTTTCCAACGAATGATGACATTCGTTCAACGCATGTCGTCTGTTTTTTTAGAACGACAAAAAGGTTTTTCGGCACTTTTGTTTCGCTGTTAAATTTTCAAAAACGGTTGTTTTAATATAAATCCGTCGTATTGAACTACAATGTTAAAACATTATTTTTAATTTTAATTACTAATAGACTATACTTTTTTTAAAAACAAATAAATTTAATAGAATTACTTAAATTATTTAAATTAAAAAAACGACTGACAAGGAACTGCGGTAAAGTTTTTCATATAATTTTCTTTGTGTCATCATAAAATTTTGTCTTTTCTGGACATTAATTATTTAGAAATCGTCCAAATGTTTTGTAATTCTGAGGTATTCGACTATACTTTTAGTCATTATCAATGATGATTTTATTTTTACTGAATGTATGGGTTATTATGTATGTATCTAGAATTAAGAAGGTTACTTTCCTAACATGGTCATCAAATTTGGGCCGTGTTCATAATTGATGTCAATGACTGCTGGCTTTTTTCGTCATATTAATAATGCTTGCATTATTTTAAAACTTTTTAGTTGCGGAAGAGGCTATTATATTTGTATTATCAACGTGTATGTATTATATAAATGCTATTATAGCGAATATCCTTATTTGAAACAGACACCCTATTTATATCTATTAAACAGTTTGTATTGCCTCTATCGGCCTGCACATTTTAGAAATCTCAGTAAAGAAAACGCGTCTTCCGATAGGGATTGAACTTGAGTCCTCCTTCGTGGGGTGGAGCTACCGTAAATTACTTACTGTGAAGTCCTTCTAGACCGAGATCATGCCGATAAAGCGTGTCTTGAAAATAACGGATCAAGAGATATTAACATACATAGCCACCTAATCCAACGATGGCTTATTACCTCAAAGGTTCTAGATTCCTCACCATTTTCCGAAACAATCCGCAAAGACTTTTTTTTCATGAACACACCCGACGTATTCTACGTAATCTTGTACAAGATTTGAAATTCCAATGGCGACATCCAGTATTTAGAAGGACGTAATTGGTCATTCAGAATTCAAGACAAAGGCTCCTCTCAATTGTATTGACTGACTCAGCTCAACAGACAGATGGTACATTCTAAGTAAGATCGTCTAAATTTGGTGTACAATTATATCAAGTGGACGCCACTGGTTCTCAAAATATTCAAATAGACAGGAAAACACTTTCAGAACAGAACTCATATATATATATATATATATATATATATATATATATATATATATATATATATATATATATATATATATATGTCCAAGTATAGGATTGGTGTATACGGAATAAATTCCAAATAACCAACAATTACTATTCTTAAAAGAGTGCTCAATACATAAATATGTTATAAAATCTCTAGAAAAATAGCCATTTTTGTTTCAACACCTCTGTCACCTCTGTTACATAGTTTATGTAACAGGGTTTCCCCCTTACGACGGGTGGTTAATTAATTTGAACCTTTTAAAACCTTTATTCTACATTCAAAATCATCACTTGATAAGACACCAGAGGTGTTGAAACAAAATGGCTATTTTTGTAGTGATTTTATAACATATTTATGTTATAATTTTAAATAAATAATTATATATATATATATATATATATATATATATATATATATATATATGGGTAAATATAATAACTCGATATTACCAGCTGTTCTTTATGTTTTGGGACTGTTATCTTCATCGTCATTACTATATTCATAACGTTTTGGCCGTTGTACGCTCTGGCCTTCTTCAGGTGATTGGAATTTTGAACCGAACCCTTTATTTCTTCCACCTGGTTAGATGTTCATATGGGGTACCGTTGTGAATATGGTAATGAAGATGAGTATAACAGTCCGAATAATGTAAAGAATACTGGAGTAATCATAATACCTCATCTCAGAGATATAGACGGATATTAGTAATTGTATATACGCGCGTTACCTTGCAAAAAAAAAGGTAAGCAAATAAATATTTACAAAATTTACTTTAAGGTGTAAACATAACAGTGCTCGATGTGGTTAAACTCAGCTAAGAAATATATATTAATGAATATACATATACCTACGTTTGGAGTGTGTTATATTGAAACATACCTATTCTATCGTTAATAGACTCTCCCACTTATAATAAGTAGTAGTAGTAGCAGTCGCGAGGGAGCTCAGAGAGTTGTCAGTCAGTCGATGTCGGACATTAAAGTATCAGCCACTACAACTAGATTGCTGCGTCATTGCCTCTTATCTCAAGTTCCTAACGTTTTGTACGTCGAACCTTTTTAGGACCGACTTAGTGAAAATACAAGCCTCCACTGTGAAACTACTCTATAACAGAGTGCGACTTAAGTTTCGCTGCTTTACCAATTCATCAGGCACGAAATGTAATATACTGGGTCTCGTGGTAGGAACGGTAAATTACACGCAGATTCACAGCTAAAATAAGGCAAATATATTATTGATGTGTAAATATAGAAAATAGGGTGTAGATAGGGGGTCATTAGAAAAAAAAGACGGATTACCGCTTGAGAATACCAAGTGCAGGAAGATTCGATTTATGTGTTTTGTAATGGATGATGTCTGGAAAATGTTAATCGGAGACCCGTGTTCCAATTCCATTTATGTTTCTTACATTCTCTTAAGTGCAAATGTTCTTGGGAAGCGTTCTGAATTCACCTCTTCTTCCCCCAACTATGGGTTAATTAGTAAGACGTGTATCAATAAATCAGTGGTTCTCAACCTTTTTTTACCCATGGACCCCTTTCCCCTTCTTTTTATCTTGGTGGACCCCTTCATAGCTATTGGACATAAGAACAATTTTCTATTCTTCACTAATATAAATTTTAAGGTTTTAATTATCAAAGAAATAGTATACGATTAAGCTTTATTTTTAAATGAAAACTAATTTAATACAAATAAAATATTCTACTATAATTATAATAATAATTATTATTACTATTTTTAATTAACACAGCAATTGAGTTTTGCCTGTGGATCCCCGGAAATATTACATGGACCCCTAGGGTCCATGTAGACCCCGGTTGAGAACCACTGCAATAAATCAATGTTATCTCAAAAAGAAAAATTTTACCATCTAAAATATTATCTATTTTTAAATAACCGGCAATGGGTTGATAAGCCGTAAAAACGAATCGATCAATCAATAAATAATTCCATTTCATTTTTCGATATTATCATATTACTCGGCAAAGTGCGAAATGTCCTATATAGCAATACACTCTCGACATGGTATGGTGTTTCCAGTTTGGTTTGGCTTGTTTAACGGCATATCAAGACATCAATGGGTTATTTAATGCCGACCAGATTTATTTTGCTGATAAATTTTTTTTTCTTTTTAAAAAAGTATTTCTGGTAATATTTTTTTCGAAAAATGTATTTCTAGTAATATTTCTTTTGTCAGAAATTTATTGCTGATAGTATCTTTTTCAAAAATGTATTTCTAGTAATATTTCTTTTGTCAGAAATTTATTGCTGATAGTATCTTTTT